TTCACTCTCAGGGCTATTTTCACCACCACTGTGACACTTGGTGGCAGGAGGGTCCTACCAGTGCCTCAGGCTGCCTAGAGATTTAAGATAAGACCCAGGAGCCCTCGAGGACCAAAAGGGCTAAGTGAGGAAGGATCTGCCCTGCTCTTGGCCTCACTATCGCTTAGGCTGAAAGGAATGGGGCGTCCAGGGGCCTGCTGACCAACTTCTGATTCCTGCAGACTTCTCTCCAAGAGGGCAAAGCCACGGACAGGCCCAAAACTTCACTCTGGTCAGCAGTCTGAGTGGTGTCTGGAACCACGCTTTTCCTATATAAAGTGCTTACCAACAGAAAAAATCGTCCAGTTGGAATTTTGCTGCCTTTTCATGCATTCTGCCAGAGCAGGGCGGGGAGAAAGCCCGCCTGGGTGATCCACAAACCCGATGTATCTGGTTGGCAGCAATGCAATGCCAACCACGCGGGCCTATTTCTGTTTTGCAGTCTCCCACCCCGGAACCACAATTGCTACTGCTTTGGTGGCAGAGGGCAGATGTTTATCCTCCACAAAGACGCTGAGCTTTCCAGCCCTTTATGTAATCTCCCGGGCCACCAAGGGGCCGGCCACATGGTGTCTGCAGATGCAGAGGCGGCCAGGCTCATACCAGGAATTCCTGCACTGTCCTTGCAGCGTGAGTGAGTAACGGGCTGGCCGGGCCGGGCGCCTCTCTTCCCTTCCCTCCGGGGCAAGGAACCTGAGGCTGAGACTCCACGGCTGCCTGCCAACCTCCCACCTGGGGCTGACAGCAATTTGCGACTCAGCTTATACAGGCTCTCCTACTGCCTGTGTTTTTGTTTGTGAAGTGAGCAATTTGCTCTTGGTCGCTTAGATCCCCTGGGGAAACGGGGCCGGGAGGGCAGTTCACCAGGCAGGACAGCTGGTGGGGCAGGCACAAGTGGCCACTGCAGCACCGGGCCTTGCCCGCCTGCCTCCTCGTCTTCTGCTCTGCAGAGCCCAGCGCCAGGTCTCCATGTGTGGCATTTGCAGCCACAGAGAAATCCACGCGGAGGGAAGATGCCTTCGCCTGGAGTTTGGGAGGTCTGAGCAGACATGGTACCCTTTCTCGGGCAGCTGCTTTCTTTTAAGAGACTGCCTTCTGTTTTTAAGACACGAGGCCTGGCAGTGGAGACAAAAGAGGTGGCAAAAATGTGTCCCAGCTCACACGCCAGGGGTAAAACAAGCCAACGGCTTGTCAAGCGATAAAGACGCGGTGAGGAAATCACAAACCACAGCCCATGCTCACTGCCTTGGCAGATGCCGCATTGTCTCAGCAGGCCTGGAGGACATGTGGTCAACAGCAGTGGGAGGCCTGGGGCCTCAAGCCTGCGCGCAACGCTGAGGGGAAGAGGTGAGAAACGCTGCATGGAAGAGGGCCGTGTGACAAGCCCCAGAAACCCCGAGACCCATCTGCCCTCCTTCTGCCTCCCCACTGCCATCACTGGGTCCCTAAGCAGACTATTTTGCCACCAAGCACCATAAACTGTGGCAGTTCCAGCTATCTGTGTTCAACATTGGCAAAGAAGAGGTAACCCCACCTGAGTCACCTCCCTGCTCCCCCCCAACCCCGTGTTGGGTGGAGGTTGGGGGGAAGGTGCAGACCCACACCCTTATCATGCGCTCTCGACTGTCTTCGTGGGAACACCACACTGTTGTGCTCTGGCTTCCCTCACAGGGGTAGGGGGCGGCACATCTTCAAACGCCTGCCGGCTTAAATGGTGACAGCTGCATGCAACGGGCTTGCTTACAGCCCGCCGGGTGCAATGAGAGATTACTGCAGGCGAAGACTTCAAAGACAAACTCACTGCAGCCATTCCAACAGCCTGGGGCTGCTGCCTCCAGTTGGTGGCTCCGTGCGCAGGCAATGAGGGAGCCAAGGAAACTCTGAAATGAGAGCTTTCTCACATGCATTGTGAGTGAGGGTGCAAGCCGGCCCAGAATGCACCTGGAGAGCTGTTGAGGGATTCCCATGAAGTCCAGAACCATGCCCTGGTCTTGGGCAGGTAGCGGAGAGAACTGACGCATCACATCACGTTAGTCTGATCAACACTCTTATTGTTATACATCCCATTTTAAGACCCAGAAACGAGTTAAGACTTGGTACAATTTTTCTTTGTACATATGTGTATTTCTCTGGTGTCGCCTAGATGATCCATCTTTGCAGAAATGCTTTCTTAAAAGTAGGCTCTGTGTTAAAGTGCCTGGTGGCCTTTGATCTTCAACTAAGGAGCCGTTACGGGAGAAACTGTCACACCGAAGAGTCGAGAGATGACTTGAAATCCTCAGTGCCTTGCAATGGGTAGCACAGATGGCTGTTTACGGAACCACATTAAAGAGCCACCGTGAAAGGTAGTTATTTCCTGTCTCCTCCATCTGGCAAAGTCCTAACGAAATGCACCCCAAGGAGCAGACTCACTGCGACACTGTGTAGACACATGTGGCTAGTGATGCCTTTGGTGAGGCTGTTTTGGTAAATCACCTCCCTCTGCTCCCAACTCTGCACCTCCGTTCCTCCTCTTCCCATGTAAAAACACGAGTTTACGTCATCACTCTATGCCTCGTCCTCTCATCTGTGACATGGGAATGAACATTTTTTAAAAAAATAAGATTTATTTATTTGAAAGAGTTACAGAGAGGGAGAGGCAGAGAGGCACAGAGGGAGAGAATCTTCCATGGCTGAGCCAGCCTGAAGCCGAGAGCCAGACCTTCATCCAGGACTTCACGTGGGTGCAGAGGCCCAAGGACTTGGGGCATCCTCCGCTGCTTTCTGAGGTGCATTAACAGGGAGCTGGATCAGAAGTGGAGCGGCCTTGACTCGAACCAGCGCCCGTATTGGGATGCCGACGTTGCAGGAGGCAGCTTTACTTGCTTCACCACAGCGCCGGCCCCTGAGCATATCTTATACATAAGTAAAAATTACAATAAAATAGAAGGGCTGGCATTCCCACATCTGTATCAGAGTGCCTGGGTTTGAGTTCCAGCTCTGCTCCCAATTACAGCTCTCTGTTGATGTGAGTCTTGGAATGCAGCAGGTGATAGCAGAAATACTCGGGTCCCTGCCACCCATGTGGGAGACCTGGATTGAGTTCCTGGCTCCTGGCTTTTGGCTTCTGGCTTGGGTCTTGCTGAGCCTTGGTTATTGGGGGACAATTGGGGAGTGAACCAGTGGATGGAAGTTCTCTCTCACTTTCAAATATATAAAACAGTTTTTAAAAAGTAAATTCTTACCATTTTTATCTTATGAGTGTATTTTATGTATTTTGCTTTATTAGGTTGACTTGGTTCTGAACTTAAAAGGAGTCTAATTAATAAATTAGGATTCATTCTTATGCTGGAATATAATATATCTGAAAATGACTTAAATGACAAGCATGTTGAAAATGTTACATCATGGCCGGCGCCGTGGCTCAATAGGCTAATCCTCTGCCTGCAGCACCAGCACACCAGGTTCTAGTCCCAGTCAGGGTGGAGGGTGAACCAACAGCAAAGGAAGACCTTTTTCTCTGTCTCTCTCTCCAGGGAGGGCAGTGGAGGATGGCCCAAGTGCTTGGGGCCTGTACCCACACTGTCCACTCTGCCAGTCCACTCTGCCAGTCAAAAAAAAAAAAAAAAAAAAAAAGAAAGAAAGAAAAAGAAAATGTTACATCATAGCTGTAGAGTGAAAAGATTAAGAGCAAAAGTTTCGAAGAGTTAATGAAACAATCCATGTATAACAATCAGTGGAGTGTAGCACATGGTCAGCACTTAAAACATTTAAGTCTTATGGGCCAGTGCTGTGGTGCAGTGGGTCAAGTCACCATTTGCATTGCCAGCATCCCACATTGGAGCACTGGGCTCCTGGCTTTGACCTGGCCCAGACCTGGCCCAGACCTGGTTGTTGCAGCCATTTTAGGGGTGAACCAGCAGATGTAAGATCTCTTTCTCTCTCTCTACCTCCCCCGCCTCCCCGTCACTCTGCCTTTCAAATAAATAAATAAATAAAATTTTTAAAGTATTTACGTCTTAAAACATTGAAGTCATTATCATTGTTTCATTTCCTTCATGTCCAGATCAAATGCCATCTCCCTTAAGAAGCCTTTTGTGCCGGCGAGAGATACTCTCTCCTTACAGCTCTTTGTCAGCATTCTGACTCTGGTGCTTACAACTCCATACTTGGGATTATGCTAATTTATGTTAGAATTAGCTCACTTTATAGTAAATATTCCCTCTTCTTCTTTGAGCTGGTGCTGTAACTTGAAAGGAAACCTAATTAATAGATAAGTTATGGTGTATTTATTTTGATGGACCATAATATACTCAGGAAATGTCTTAAGGCGTGGAGGAAATGTTAATTATAATTTTTAAGTGTAAAAATCAGCATAGAAAACTTTTAGCAAAATATATGTGCAAGCAATAAAACAGGAAAAAAAATCGTGTATAGATGCATAAACATGCATAGAAAAAACTGCTAAGCCAGGGCCGTTGTTGTGGTGCAGTGGTTTAAACCACTACCTGCAATGCTGGCATCCCATGAGTTTGACAGTTGAGAGTCCCAGCTGCTCCACTTCCGATCCAGCTCCCTGCTAACGCGCCTGGGAAAGCAGTGGGAGATGGCCCAAGTGCTTGGGTCCCTGCCACCCATGTGGGAGACCTGGATGAAGCTTCTGGCTTCAGCCTAGCCTAGTCCCAGTCATTGTGGCCATTTGGGGTGTGAATCAGCAGTTGGAAGATCTCCTTCTCTTTCTGTCTCTCCCTCTCTCTCTCTCTAACTACCATGCAAGTTAATAAATCTTAAAAAAAAATTCCACTGACTTAAGGAGAAAAAAAAAACCTGCTAAATAAAAATTAAAAAGTAGTTTCTACTAATCAGAGAAATGAAATCTAGTTTCTACTAATCAGGGAAATGAAAAGTAATATGCTCTTAATAAAGCCAACTGTAAGGTGTGAAAATGAGGACAACCAAAACAACCTAAAGAAATAGGGAGGGGATACGTTCGTTGGCTTACTCCTTTCTGCCTGCGGACGCCGCCAAGGAAGCATCGTCGAGTTCTCTCTTCCCACCGCCGTCATGTCGAAGTCAGAGTCGCCCAAGGAGCCCGAGCAGCTGCGGAAGCTCTTCATTGGAGGGCTGAGCTTTGAGACGACCGATGAGAGCCTGAGGAGCCATTTTGAACAATGGGGCACGCTCATGGACTGCGTGGTAATGAGAGACCCGAACACCAAGCGCTCCAGGGGCTTTGGGTTTGTCACCTACGACACCGTGGAGGAGGTGGATGCGGCCATGAACGCAAGGCCACACAAAGTGGATGGAAGAGTTGTGGAACCAAAGAGGGCTGTGTCGAGAGAAGATTCCCAAAGACCAGGTGCCCACCTCACTGTGAAAAAGATCTTCGTGGGTGGCATTAAAGAAGACACTGAAGAGTGTCACCTCCGAGATTACTTTGAGCAGTACGGGAAAATCGAGGTGATTGAGATCATGACTGAGCGAGGCAGTGGCAAGAAGAGGGGCTTTGCTTTTGTGACCTTCGACGACCATGACTCCGTGGATAAGATTGTCATTCAGAAATACCACACTGTTAACGGCTACAACTGTGAAGTGAGGAAGGCCCTGTCGAAGCAGGAGATGGCCAGCGCTTCGTCCACCCCCAGAGGTCGAAGTGGTTCTGGAAACTTTGGTGGTGGTCGTGGAGGTGGTTTTGGTGGAATGACAACTTTGGTCTTGGAGGAAACTTCAGTGGTCGTGGTGGCTTCGGCGGCAGCCGTGATGGAGGTGGTTATGGTGGCAGTGGGGATGTGTGGGGAGCAACCCGGACTAGACTAAGTTACTGGAATTAAGACTTATTCTATGCATCTGCTCTCCCACAATATGGCGCTGGGAGAGGAGAAAACAGCTTCTACACAGCTGCCTCCAGTTCAACCAATAAACTGTAGGACCTGCTCCTGATTGGAGGAGAGCAGCGTACTCGGCGTGTGGGCAGCCGAGTTGGGATTGGTGGAAGAGGACTATAAAGGAGGAGAGAGACAACATGCACCAGGAACATCTAAGGGGAACATCTATCTGAAGGAACACCTGTGCAGCCCCCGAGAGAGCCGGCCGGTGGTGTGCCGCTCCCCCGCGGAAGTGGGGAATGTGGCAGGGGGAATCGCCCTTCCACGGAGGTGGAAGGGTCAGCAGCCAACCCGGGAAGAACCAGCAGCAAACCCGGGGAGGGCCGAGCAGACGAAAGAACAACGCAGAATCCTGTGTCGTTCCTCCACGAAGACGGGGAGCGACAGGGATGGTTACAATGGATTTGGTAATGACGGAAGCAATTTTGGAGGCAGCGGAGGCTACAATGATTTTGGCAATTACAACAATCAATCTTCAAATTTTGGACCCATGAAGGGAGGAAATTTTGGAGGCAGAAGCTCTGGCCCCTATGGTGGTGGCGGCCAATATTTTGCCAAACCACGAAATCAAGGTGGCTATGGTGGTTCTAGCAGCAGCAGCAGCTATGGCAGTGGCAGAAGGTTTTAATAACTGCCAGGAAACAAAGCTTAGCAGGAGAGGAGAGCCAGAGAAGTGACAGGGAAGCTACAGGTTACAACAGATTTGTGAACTCAGCCAAGCACAGTGGTGGCAGGGCCTAGCTGCTACAAAGAAGACATGTTTTAGACAATACTCATGTGTATGGGCAAAAAAACTCGAGGACTGTATTTGTGACTAATTGTATAACAGGTTATTTTAGTTTCTGTTCTGTGGAAAGTGTAAAGCATTCCAACAAAGGGTTTTAATGTAGTTTTTTTTTTCTTTTGCACCCATGCTGTTGATTGCTAAATGTAATAGTCTGATCATGACGCTGAATAAATGTGTCTTTAAAAAAAAAAAAGAAATAGGGAGACTATCATGAGTTTTCAACTTTATCCATCCATTCAGCAAATATTTTTTGGCCAACTACTATGAGTATGAAGCTGTGATAAGTCCTACAGATGAAAACAGACTTGAGACTGGTGCTGATCTCAAGAACCATAGTATTTGGTTGGACAGATGAGACATACCCATGGAAGGACTAATACAGGGATGCAGAAGAATAAGGGATTTTGACAGCAGAGGCTGCCAGTGGGCACCGGATGTGTCCACAACGCTGGGAATGGCTTCCCAAAGATGCAGCCTGGCAGCAATGTTAATTCTTATTGCATGAAAAGTCAGCAGTTAAGTCCCTATAACTATTTCTATTTAAATCATTGATTTAAAATCTTTTCCCTACCTATGTTTTTTTTCCCTCAGTTTGCTAGTAAGTAGCAAAATAGCTTGAATGAGAATCCCATCCAGTTTTGGTTGACTGGAAGTGAAATGATAAAAAGGCAAGCAGCTGAAAGAGAAAAAGAAGCAGGCCTGAATACTCTTACAAAGCCAGGAAGAAAGAGATCTTCCATCTGCTGGTTTACTTCCCAAATGCACACAACAGCCAGGGCTGGGCCAGGAAGTCAGGACCAGTTCAGGACCCCAGAACTCAGTCTGGCAGGGGCCCAAGTATTTGAACCATTATTTATTTATTTATTTTTGCCCCCAGAGTTACCATTTGCAAAAAGCTGGATTCGAAGCAAAGGAGCCAGGACTCAAAGCAGAGACTTTGATTTTGCAGCTTTATCACCACACCAAATACCCACCCTGTGCATTGTTTCTGAAGGAGGAATTTATCTGTCTTTCTCAAAGCTAATATAAGTAACCCTCTACCTTCTTCTAGTCAAGAATGCTGAGAGTCTGGCAAAGCATCCTAGTGAAATTTAGTGTCAAGATAACCAAATTTACGTCATCTAGAAAAGGGAAAAATGCACCAGTTTTATTTTGATGGAAAGTTTACCTGTGTTGAAAGTTTCTAGATCTTCCATTCTACTACCTAATGGAAAAGCTGACAATCTCAAACTGGCAAATCCAAATAGAGTTGTTAGCTCTTCCTTGGTAACCCAAATAGGAAGGGTGATAAGAAAGAGGTGTGGTACCTTAATGACCTTTAAAAAGAAGAAACCATGAGTATCAGTGGTGCAGAGTTGATTGGTTAGAAACAGAACCAACATGTTGATTGGTTGGAAGCCTTACCCAACCTATGTCAGTATAATCAAAGGTGACATTTATGCTAGAAATTTACTTTCAAGAAAATCGGAGGTTTCTTTGGTCAAGGTCAGAACTTTTTAGTACTTCCCACTAACTCTCAGAGCAAATGCTTTCAGAAGGTTCCCCACATCAAAGTTTAAGAAGAAAATACATATGAGGGAACTTCAAAAAGTTTGTGGAGGTTGGAATTAAACGATAAGTTTATTTTCATGCAAAGAATTTTTTGAAATTCATCCATCCAAAAAGGCTCCTGGATGATTAATACCATGAGGAAGCAATATGCATGGGTTTCAAAATGTCTGTGTCCCGATAGGGGCTGACATTTGGCACCGCAGTTAAGGTGCCACTTGGGACACCTGTAGCCCCTATCAGAGTGCCTAGGTTTGAGTCTTGGCTCTGCTTCTGATTCCAGATTCCTTCAAAGACAATAGATGGGAGACAGCATGCAATGGTGCAGATACCTGGGTTCCTGTGACCCACATGAGAGAATGGATTGAATTCTGAGCTTCCGGTTTCTATCAGGCCCAGCTCCAGCCGTTGCAGGCTTTAGGAGAGTGAACCAGCAAGTGGAAAAAAATCTCAATGTCTCTGATTTTCTCTGCCTTTCAAATAAAAATGAAAATGAATCAGTTAAAATTTTTAAAAATTTGTTTTTTGCACTAAAATAAATTTATTTTAATAATGTTAATTCCATTCGCCATAACTTTTTTGAAGGCCCCTTGTATATCTGAGTTCTGGAGAAAATCCAATGCCAATGCCTAAATAAAGACATTGGGGCCACCACCAGCAATGGTTTTCACCAGGTTCGTGGAGGCAATATTTGGAGATAGATACTCTCTTGATTACTTCTCATCTTCCCAGGTGGTCAGGGGTCAGCAATTACATTCCAGAGTAGAATTCACTCCAGCCCACAGTGCCAGATGGCCTCCACACACTTGCAGCCAGAGGAGGCCAGTGCCAGCAGCAGCTGAGGTCTGGCTGCAGTTCAGGACTAGCCCAGCCTTTCCTCCTCCTCTGGGGCTTCCCCAGAACTTCTGTTTTCAAGAGGCAGCCAGAACCTGCCTGGTACTCAGCCTGGAGCTTGGGCAGGTGCTGGAGGAGAGTCAACCCAAGAAAGCATTGTATTCACCGCTTAATCTTATCACCCCTTGACTCAGAGCTGAAACATAGCCTCCCAGGCAGCTTTCTGGAAACACTTTCTCAAGTCATTAAAAATATGCATAATGTTATCAGTTACCATTTATGGCTTCTGTATTTCTAGTAACTGGCATTGCTGTTACTTTAGGCAAGCCAGAAAATAAGCATGCCAGGAACTGACATGGCACGTTATGTCACCAACACAAAAGAGCTCCCATGGATAAGCTTCAGGTTCATTGCTTTGTGGGTTTTCCCCTTCCTTTATCCAAGATGTAGCTTTCGTATATTTTTTTTCCACTCTCATTATGAGGTCAAGTGTTGAGCAACACATGAAGCTTGAGTTTCCATCAAAGATACCTGTGTTCTAAGGTAGTAGAAACTGTAAGTTGAAGGTCAACAGTTAAACAGATTTAAAAAAAAAAAAAATTCCTTCCTTTGCCGTTGGTTCACCCTCCAATGGCCACCGCGGCCGGCACACCGTGCTTATCCGAAGGCAGGAGCCTTCTCCTGGTCTCCCATGGGGTGCAGGGCCCAAGCACTTGGGCCATCTTTCACTGCACTCCCTGGCCACAGCAGAGAGCTGGCCTGGAAGAGGGGCAACCGGGACAGAATCCGGCGCCCCAACCGGGACTAGAACCTGGTGTGCTGGCGCCGCAAGGTGGAGGATTAGCCTAGTGAGCCACGGCGCCGGCCTAAAAAAAAATTTTCTAATCATTTCCTTTGTCTTAGAACTACTCATCTAGGGATGTTTAAATTCACCCATGTGGGAAGGGAAGGATGACATCAAACCCTGGGTGCCTGGGGCTGCTTGGGTTGGGAGGCAGTAGAGGTGTTCTCAAGTAGCAGTGAGCAGAGAGCAGTGAAAACACAAAACGTGGCACAGTCGGGAGGATGGTTTTTTATTTTTTAAACTAAAGATTTATTTATTTATTTGAAAGAGTTACACACAGAGAGAGAAGGAGAGGCAGAGAGAGAGAGAGAGAGAGAGGCAGAGAGAAAGAGGTCTTCCATCTGCTGGTTCACTCCCCAATTGGCCACAACGGCCAGAGCTGCGCTGATCTCGAAGCCAGGAGCCAGGAGCTTCCTCCAGGTCTCCCACGTGGGTGCAGGGGCCCAAGGATCTGGGCCATCTTCTCCTGCTTTTCCAGGCCATAGCAGAGAGCTGGATCGGAAGTGGAACAGCTGGGACTCAAATCGGCGCCCATATGGGATGCTGGCGCTGCAGGTGGTGGCTTTACCTGCTAAGCCACAGTGCTGGCCCCAAGGGAGGATGATTTTAAAACCCTGAAAGACAAGGTTGCTGAATGCCCCTCCCATCAGTCCTCCTGCCTGCCAATCTCTCTTGGAATCCATCTGTTTTACCAGGTTTATTAATGCCATTGCAGACAAAATGGGAAAAGGGCACTGTCCGGGGTGGGGGGCATTTTATTTAGTTTTCCTCTTCTCTAAGCCTGATTCACAGGGACTGATGTTACAACCATGCTGGTAAGGCTGCTACTTATTTACTCTAGCTCTCTTCCCTTTGCTTTCTGGGCACGCAGCCGGGCACACTATGGAGGAGAGTCACTCACTGACCAGGAGCGATCATCTTAGGTTCTTACATGAGCAAGAAATTAATTCCTGGGGGCTGGTATTGTGGCACAGTCGGTTAAGCCACTGCCTGCAAACCATACGAACACCAGTTCGAGTCCCTGCTGCTCCACTTTTGATCCAGCTTCCTCGTGATGCACCTGTGAAACCAATGGAAAATGACTCAAGTAATTGGGCCCCTGCCACCCATGTGTGAGGTCTGGATGGAGTTCCTGGCTCCTGGCTTTGGCCTGACCAAGCCCTAGGCATTGTTACCATTTGTGGAGTGCACCAGCAGATAGAAGATCTATGCCTCTCCTTCTTACTCTGTAACTCTGCCTTTCAAATAAATAAATATTTTGAAAGAAAAGACATTAACTCCTATTGTGTGTAAACCATAATACATTTTTTATTTTAGCTGTGATATCACTTTAACTTAGTAAAAACACCTACAGTTGTTATTTATTTATTTTTTTAAGATTTTGTTTATTTATTTGAGAGGTAGAATTATTTATTTATTAGAGAGGCACAGAGAGAGAGAGAGGTCTTCCATCTGCTGGTTCACTCCCCAGATGGCATCTACGGCCAGAGCTGAGCTGATCCAAAGTCAGGAGCCAGGAGCTTTTTCCGAGTCTCCCATGTGGGTGCAGAGGCCCAAGGACTTGGGCCATCTTCTACTGCTTTCCCAGGCCATAGCAGAGAGCTGGATTGGAAGAGGAGCAGCCAGGACTAGAACTGGGATATGGGATTCCAGCACCACATGCGGAGGCTTAGCCCACTATAGCGCCGGCCCCTACAGTTGTTATATTTTACAAACATTCACACAAACAACACACCTTCATCAAAAAAGCACAGTCATCTTCAAAGGTCAAGTACATTCTTTTAAAATCTAGAAAAACATTTAGCGTTCTAAGAATATATTATAATCTGATGAATGTTTTCCAGTTGTCAGAACATTTCATGTGCA